ACGAGAATGGACGAAAGACAGGCCATTTCTCATTTTTCATGGTTACCGTTATATCGTGTACAAAAATATTAAACCACGAACCATTTCGTGCATTTTGTTATGCGATATGTTAAAAAAAACATCAACAACAACCAACACCACTAGCATAATAGTATAAAAACCTGACGATGAGCAGAACTTGGTGATTATTCATACGAAATGACTTCTAAACACCAACATAATTTGAAATGAACGTGAACTTAGGCAGAAAAAAAATGTTCATGCATTTTTTTTTTCAACCACTGACCAACATTCTTCTTCGCACTTCGGCCAATGCTTTTGTATTTTGACTATGAATATACAAACACTAGATATACTGGTTTTTTTAAAGGCAAAATTGTTGATTCAACTTTATGAAATCATTTAGAGCGTATGGGCTGGACTCGTCACACAATCGTCTTTTTTTATTACGGTTTATCAAAGCATAAAAATTGCTACTGAAAGCACACTGCAAAGTGAAGCGATTTTTTTTTTCTGTTCCTTTCACCATCATATAAACACATCAAAAATATTATCTCGCTGATATCGTATATGGTTGAGGCTGGCTGCACTTGTCAGCATTTGACGATTTCAACAGATGTTTTGTGTTGATCGATTGAGCTGTGTGTCCCAAACAAAATTCTTTTATCCAACCACAAAATATGGAACGTGATACATTTCATTTAAAGCAAATTCATTTGGAGAAATCAAATGTGGAATATTTTTGATAAAAACGGTCGGATCGTCTATTCTACCAGACAAACGAAATGTAAAAAAAGCGACACGAAGTTTGTTATTCACCAGATTCTTTGTACCGGCAAAAGTCAAGTGAGACAATGACTAACCTTGAACATTTGAATGATTGGTTTATTATTTTTGGAGAAATGAGCACGTTCAACATAAAGACCAGTCATGATTTATGTACTCATTTACCGTTATTTTTATTCAATGCGAACGGATTCACTGATATAAATACATTTTGAGTTGATTTGTTCCATTCAACATATACATATATATTTTATGGTCATTTGCCTTTTTTCAATTGGGTAAACCACACTCAATTAAATTGTTAAATTAAAACAAACAAATCGGTTTTTGTGGATTCAATGACGAATTTTTTACTAACACTTGAAATTCATTTTCGGCTCGAATATTCAAATGCTAAACATTATATTGCGACAAAGCAATAGCTTTGCTATCATCGATCTGTCGAAACTTTAATTTACACAGTTTAGTAAAGTTCACAATTTTCTCGTTAACAATTCAAAGAATCTATGACGAACGATAAAAAAAGAGGCCATACAAGAGATGCGGTTATAAAGTTCAATTTTAACATGAATGTTGCTCGTAGCGTAGAGTTGTTCTGAACATTTTTGTCGATCGTAATTGCATGAATCGATTGAAGAAGCTGTTTTTCCACCAAAGAGTCTGTCGTTTCGTAGAAAATTCGGTACGCACGAATTCATGTGCGGTTCAATGGGTAACAACTGACGGAATTAAAAAAAGATGAAACAACATAAATGGAAAAAAAAGCGCACACTGAAAACCAAAATCGACCACACTCGATTTCCTAGCGCAAAATAACAATGCAAGGCATACATGCTGCCGTCGATACATCGTGTACCAATCATCAAACATAGGGAGTAAGTCGGGTCGTTATTTCGATATAAAATTCTATACAATCCGGCATTTTGGTGGCACATAAAACGCACCAAAACAGTATGTGTGTGTCTGTGTGTGTTTGTAGTGGAGAATCAGCCATGCAAAAAGTGGTGTGTGACATTTTGAAACGGTAGTAAATTTTCGCCTTTGTTTGATTTTTTTTGGTGGATAATTCTATTTTTTATGGTGTCGTTTCTCGATTGTATGTGATTTGGACTTGATGGTGCAATTGGATAGCAACGTTAAATCATTAACACAATATGTACAACGGTCCCAATGGCAGCTAGTGACTTTGAGAAGTCTTTGGTTCCAATATATGTATTTTACACGAAAGAAGCACAACGAGAAAGAACACCATAGCAAACAAACAAACAAAAAAAGATTGACGTAATATTGGCGAAAGCGGGCATTAGAGATGGCATCCGAGAGAGAGAGAAGGAGAATGCCACATATATGCTTCCATATTCGCGATGGCACACACATCAGGCGGCTGAATCAGCTCAGGGAGCTTACGTCAGGCGCTGAAATGGAGTGAAAATAATAGAAGTGATTGAAGCAATGTAAGTGTTTTTATAATCATAACAATCACTTAAATTTTTTTCATTGCATTTCAGAGCCTGGCGTTAAAAATTTCAGCTGCCTGAAAATATCTCAGTTTAATGTCTATTACACACACACACATGCTCGCACAGTATTTGGTTCAAGAGATTATGTAGTGCTAGCATAAAAAAGCGCATTTTATTTACTTTTATACGATCGTTTCACATTTACGGCTCGCACACAACACAAGTGATTACATTTACTTGTTTAATCAACAAAATATACACTCTTTATTGGAGTGAAGCAGTCAACGTTCTCAACTCAATTTAGAAATCTGCAATGTTGTCAATTGTATGTGTGTGTGTGAGAGAGAGAGTGAATGTGTGCTTGCAATTTAACCCAGCGCGACAATGAACAATCTGCTTTCTCGCCTTGTGCTTTTAAGCAAATTTTTTTCGACATTCGAATGAGAAAAAAAGTGAAGCGAATACAATACGATCCATAAACAAGACAACAACACTCAATTGGTTACCAGATGGATTGAGAACTACAGGCTAACACGTCTGTTTTTTTTTCCGCAGCTGCACATTGCAATGATGAATTAATACGACAAATGAAAACTGTAAATAAAACGTAAGTGTGTTCTATCTATAAATCAAAGAAGCGCATAAAGCACGTAGAAAACAATGCAATGAAATGAGAAATAAAATGACGAAAACAAAAGCGCCAAAAAGTGTATTTGATTTTCTCTCGCTTTTGTCGTGTGAATATGTTTATGTGTGTGTGTGATTGCTTCGTTCGCTCGTTTTTACATGCACTTCATCACATTTACGTCGGTAAATTTGTACGCGGTAACACGTTTTCGCTTCTCGCTTTTTTTCAACTTTTATTTTTATTTTTAATTTCATTTACGATATAGTCCACATTTCTCCAATCTCAGCAGAAAGAGTACTTAATGAAATGAGTGAAATTAGCTTAGATAAATACACTTGAAATGGTGCAGCTCAGCTGTTTTATTGCATCAATAAAGGTAAATCTAAATTCATTTTCTCTCTTTTTTTCTCTCAACATAATTTATCTTATACTTTTTATAGTTCACAAATTTTATGGATCGTTCTTCGTCTTGTTGTTGTTCTTCGCATCATGATGTATCTTGACGTGAGAAGTTAAAAATTGTCTACAGTGTTTTATATTAAAAATATATATATAATAATAACTCGTTTTTGATTTGAGATAAAGAATGTACGACGATTGGTGCATGATTTCAATGATACAATTTTTTTTTCGTTCGTGTATTCCGTTCATAACATCAAATTTGATGCCAAGGAAACGTTTGAAAAATGGCTTGAATCCAAAATTAAATTTATTTGAGTTTCAATCTATCGGCGTACAATTTTTTTTTGTCATCTTTTAATGTCTCGCTTCAGATTGCATGCCCAACGGCAATTCTCTTTTAACAAATTTATATTTGCTATGCACAGTACAGCATCTCTTCGAATACACAAAAACGACAGGCACATGACATGGGCAAAATAACACGCATCAGCATTTCTTTATTGACCTGCTGTTCTCTCTGTCGCTCTCGCTCTCTCTCTCTCTCTCTGTCTAAATACACACGATATCTATCCTCTTCTAGGAAAATGCTCATAAAATGCAATTACAGCGCTTCTCGTTCGAATTCATTGTCTTTTAGTTTGTGGCATGCATTTTCGCGATTTTCGAACTGCATATGTATCGTACGATACAGTACGTACCTCTTCAATGGACCAAAAGTATACACTGTCAAGAAATGACAATTTTCCAAGGTATTATTATTATTAGAACCGAACATGACATGACGCAAGGGCATTTTTCCACTCATTCCATAAAATTCACTAACTGCGTTCGCCTTTAACTATATATATCGCTGAGCTGATTCTCGAAATCACCAACTGATGTCAAGTCAATCCCGATATTTATGCTTATATTTTAAAGTAAATAATAAAACGGAACTATCGTCTCCGATTGTTCGTTACAATGTGAATAATAGTGGCAGCAGAAACAATCTGTTAAACAAGCCAGATAGCAAGTGTGCTCGTCGCAATTCACAATTGTCAAACCGATTCAGGATGCTGTGAATCTGTTGTTCTCTGTTTTCTGTCATTCGCATTTAATTTCTCGTTCGTTCGCTCACTCGCTTACGAGATTGCATGCATTTTAAGCTATGCACAATTGTGTTTTACATAAAATTATGTCTCATAAAATGTCTTGAATTGAAGTGAAAGTTGCAAATACAGCTTAAGTTGTATACATTCCGTCGAACCTGTTTCAATTCATACGCATTAAAATGTACATGCTTTTGTTGTTGTTATTATTGTTCATTTGTATGATATTGTTTTCATGGCTGTAGGTGTAGTTTGCTTGTTTGCCACTCCAACATGAAAAACAGAACAAAAAAAATATACGACAGATTGTACATAACTAAGAATAACTTTTCTGCAATGGCATTTCTCACAAACATATCACACCACCGACTGAAAAAAAAAAATGTGACAATTCTATTCGGAAGTAAAAAAAGGACCATTTCATGCTACGAAACAGTTTTTCGCAATTTTTTGAGCGGCGATTTATGAATAAATTTTCGGCGATTACAATCCTTTTGTACGCGATAACGACATGCTTTTGCGGAAGTATACAGAAAAACAAATAATAACTCTTTCTGTTTTTCATTCCAGATTGCAAGTGTTTTAGTGCCACAGAACGGCTGTTGCATTATTCTATATTGATTTTTATGTACTTACTCAGTCGTGATAATTTGAATGCATCCGCAGTATTGATTACATCCACAAATGTGAGTAATTCAAATCGTCGTGTTGTAACATTCATATTATGATTTTGCATTGCAAATTTGAATGCCGATTGAACCTCACCGGTACCTTGTTCGAATATAGCACCTGCAAAAGAAAAAGAAGAGAAAAAAAAATTCATTTTACTTGATGAAAACCACGAAAAAAATGCTTTTAAATATAAAAACGGTTTTAAAATTAATTATATGGATGTTTTCATATCAGGTTTTGTGCTAGATACACTTGGAAATGAAAAAATATATTTGGAAATAGAAAAAAACGTGCCAGTTGGTTTGAATATCTCGTTTTAACATTAAAAAAAACACAAATTAAATATTTTTCCATATTTTTACTTTCGAAATAATGAATGAAATACAGTGAAAGTCTGAACTTTTCAAAGTAGAAAAGCTCTCAGCATTTCGAAGATTTCTTGAAACTATCCACATTAATTCAGCCAAGTTAATCTAACCATCGAAAATCAACTTTGGTAAGTTGAAGAAAGTAAATTCCATTAGTTTTCCAACTTGTGGATCAATTTGAAATTAATCAAACAATGTCACTGCAGTATGAGGTCTGATAAAATTGATCTGATTTTTTCTATAAATACAAATCTCCACCATTCAAACTATTTTTTTTTTAAAACGTGATACACTTGAAATTGTGGTACATACATTTCTATTTTTGTAAAAGTTTCTTGAAGTATGAAAGTACAGGTGTGATTTTGCATTTTATAGAAATTGCATGCGCTTCTATTACGTTCAACTGTATTTGTATTGAGAAAAAAAAGTGCAATATCTTATTAGCAACATTATCACGTAATTAGAAACTGTATCATAAGCAATAGAAAAAAGAAATCTACAACTATTTTTTATCACTTTCATTTCAATCTGTTAAAGTTAAGTTGTTGATTATCAAGATATGGTTTTTACTACTGATTTGCAACGGAAACCATAACAATGTTTCTATATAAGAAAAGTATTGGAGAAGTAACCATATTGCTTGTTTGAATTCAGAAAACTCAAAAGCACCACCGCATTACTTTGATGACGAATGAAGACATACAAATGAGTGCACAAAGCATTTCCGCTTTGATACGACAAGGAAAAAAGCACCAGGATACATGCGATCTGATGAAAAGGAAGTAGACATTTTTTTACTGTCGCGTGTATTGTGTTAATTTTAATTTTAACAAATGGTGTTAATTTTGTTTGTGCACCACTTTCTGAATAGGTGTTTGTATGTGTGTTTGACTGAGAGTGTGTCGACGGCAAAATATGCAAGAAACCAGGATGCAAGGAGTAAACAATTATGTCAGAAACAGTACTAAGCGCACTGATCACATGTATAGAAAACAACATCAACTGGGATTGGGTTAAGAAATTATACTTGAAATGCGGTCGCATTTGATCGCAATTCTATTATCTCAAAATGAACAATTATATTTCATTGATATGTGCTAGAAAACAACGCATTCATCGTAAATAGGCATGCTGAGCACTCACTGTTTGCTATTTGGTTGTTTGCACAAACAAAATGTATACTAACAAACGCACTCACACATACAACAAAACGTGGCATCCCGCTGTGGGTTTTCGTGCCAACGAAATTCAAATATCCGTATATATGGTTTTAAATAGTATTGTATATTAGCCGTGCAAGTATTTCGAATGCTCGGTCTGACGTTAAAAAACATGAAAAAAAAGAAGAACGAAAACAACTCATGAATTATTGTTACTTTTAAATGTGAATTATGTGCAAGGTGTTTTCAAACACGGGAACTATGAACGTGTGCGATGATGTGCTTTCTTCGATTTTTTTTTACTTTAACTTTTTTTTTCGTTTACTTTAGCTACTTTTTGTGAGCCATTCTAATTTCTGTGTACGCTTCTGGTTTGAAGATTGTGAACTTTGTCGGCTTCTTTTGACGCTTGAATTGGAAGCAGTGAGTGCTTTTAAGCAAAAGTGGATATTATTTACATGCATATGTTAATGTTGGAAGAAAGACTTGCTGTTTGTTTTCCGCTATGGATAACAGATACATTGGAGGAAAAAAATATATATATATCGTAATCTTCCCAGTTTCGTGTATGCTCTAGTTTCTATGCAGTTTTCCCGTTCGGTTGTTTGGTCTGTTTTCCGATGATGAAAACTTTTTTCGACAACGATATTCTTCGGCATCTGTTTTACTTTCTACAAGGAGAGATTGATGGTTCATACGTACACTGCATACGGTTGAGTGTGTGTTCATGTGGTAGAAAACCAAAACTTAAATTCAAACTCATTTCATATTAATAAATATGTGATACATTTGTGATGCAAACGCATGTGTGCTCAAAACTATTTGCGGATCATTTTTGAATTCGGTTGATTTTTTTTTCTCGCAAAACTGTGGATTTTGCTAGGGGTTAAAAAAAATGTTAGCTTTGGTTTTTTTCGTAATCAGATACTACTAACTTTCATAACGATCGAATGAAAAAAATGTACTCTGATCTTGGAACTTCGAATTGATTGAACAAAACGGCTGACACCATTGAATGTCTCGAGTCCGAATTAAGTAAGATCGGTTGCAAAATTGATTGTCTGGATCAGCGTAAACAACTAGGAGAATTGATTCAAAAAAAGTCGGTGACTCCATAGACTTTTTGCAATTTCAAACAATTTACAAAAAATTGGATATGAAAATATGGGCGAAAAGCTAAGTGCTTCCTTGATTTATGACATAAAAAATGGGTTAATAACGTGTTTTTTCCTTTTAGTTTTGGTCATATCAATGTAACCGTCTCCACTAATTTGTTTTCCAACATTTCTAAGATATCTTTCCAATAAGTCATTAATGAAGAATTTCTGTCGAGAAACACCGATTCGGAAAAAGAGCACATATGAATCGTTGCGGCGAAACAGTAGCTCTTATTTTTCTCCAAATAATACTGCAACATGAAGTTTTTTTCACACGGTTTATTTGTTGTAATACAACAAATAAACTATTCATAAAAAACTTTATGTTGCAGTATTATTTGGAGAAAAATAAGAGCTACTCTTTCGCCGCAACGATTCATATATTTCTTTTATTCCCCAGCCTGTAGTACGGAATTGCGGAGGGCATAGATAGAATTGTTGTGTGCGCTTTTCGTATACTTGCACGCACTGTTCGTATCCCACACCATACTTCATACGTTGCATATGAACTCAAAAAACGTCGATAATATCAAAGTTCTATAAAAAATGCGACTCTGTTTCAATTTTATATTTACGCATATTCAAATAGGAAGTGATGTTCAATTCAACCTTGTTCGTGAGTATTAATAAAAAGGCATAACAATGTTTCTTTTAAAAAGTGGGATCTTTTGACTTATCGACGATAATTTCCGGAAATATTACGAAAATTCAATAAACTCCCGCAATGTAGAAAAGTCGAAAATTTGGTGCGCTGTGAATGGATGTGCGTGATTTGCAAGTCAACATGTCATTTAAATCCGTTTTAAAATTAATTTTTATAATGAAATTAATGGAATCGCATTACTTCTCATGCCGTCGTTCTTCATCACTCTTTCATTTTAAACGATTTTAAATTAATAAAAGCACCAATCCAGTGTTCAGTGAGAGAAGTGCTCTTGTCAGTGCTGATGGAGATGAAGATGAGTTTTGTCGGATTCTGAATTTCAACTTACTGTTAAACACACTGAAGTTCAAAGTGTGAAACAATTTTTTTTTTTTCATAGCCAAATGGATTTTACAAAATGGCCAAACGACGAATTCATCGCTCTGTAGAGCTGTTTATTTCTTTCTTTTTATTTTTCGACAAATTTTCGCGCATGTACATCGTTTTATCGTCTTCACACCACTGACAGACAATTGCGTCTGTTATTTGCGACATTTAAATTAATAAATCTGTTGCTAGCTAAACGGAACTGACAAATACCAAATCTAACGTCAACATAAAACACGATACAATATAAATTACGCAACATAGTTTTGAGAATGCCGAAAATAGATAGATCGAAAATAAAAGGATATGTACATGCAGTCAAGACAATCACGGCGCTCTGTTAATGTATGTCTCCATCACTTTCTTTTTATTTCTTTTTATTTCGTACTTGTGCATTACTATCCGAAAATCAAGAATACCATTAGACTATAGCTAATGAATTTAATATACCATGCACAACGGTATCAGCAACGAAAGCAGCTGACATTTATATTCTGTTGCCGACGAAAATCAATTTAAATAGAACTGAGTGGAATCAGAGAGAGACGGAGAGAGAGAGAGGAACAGAGGAAAATAGAGGACGTCAAAGTAGCCCGACGTGAAAAGAAAAACGACATCTTAATATCCGTTTTCTCCTTCAGGGCTTGAATATCACCGAATTGTTCAATTCAAATTGCCACTCGTCCAATCCATCATCGACGAAAGTTGAATGGGCAAACTTATATACACTTTACGTTCGCATCAATGTCGCAACGCATCGCATCAAATGAAAGCATATTTTGCAAAATGTACAGAATCGAAAAAAATGTACGTAACTGATTGCTTTGTCAAAAGCTTCGACACGATTTGATTTTATTGATTTGATCAGAACAGCATTGACCATTTTGCATTCAAAATCAACTTTTTTATTTTAAATAAAAATATGTAGAAGAAAAATCATTAAATTTAAATGAGAATGACAGTTTGAAGTCACAAGAACTTCCCTTTTATAATGTCTTAGTCCTAATAATTTATGTGCATGCCACAACCAAAAATGCGGATAAGCATCACATTCACATTCAATATTTATATATAAACATATATATTTCTTGGTGTGACAATTTTAATTGGAAATGCATGAAGTGAAGGTATTCATATTTACCGCTTTTGATTGCACTCTTTGAAATAATTGAAAAAAGAATCGTTTTATTAAAAAAAATAATGCCGGCATGCTATGGATGTCACAATCATTTAATTTTTTTTTTGATAAAAATTATGCATAGCGAAAAGATAGAGACGTGTTTCGGTTTGGAAAAGCTGTTTTTAATTTGGTTGATTTTCAAACTGAAAGTGATGCCTTAAGGAGCAATCCAATTGTCCAAGAAAACTCGAAAAAGGTTCGTAATCCGCATTAATGTGGACA